TGGCGGGAAAAAAATTGTACATTTCAAATAGATACCTCAAAGACTCATATATGCTTTTCTTAGCATGGTGAGATTGAAGATTCATTTTAAATAGGTCAATCGACACCTGCCATACACATTTTTCATAGCATGGTGGGATGACCCAGCTCCCCAAAATTCCCCTAAACAGGGGAGGCGTGAGGGTGTTGCCGAAATTCAAAGCAAATAGAGAACTTGAGCTTTAATGGAAGGACCACATGGAACAGAACTTGAACTAACAGGGAGCTGAATTTATATGTAAGGAATAGAACCTAACATCTAAAACAAGACCTCTAATTTACAAAATAAATTAGACATGCAAACAGAGACTTCGCAGTGGGCAAACTTCAAAGCAAATGTATAAAACTCTTAACAATCATCATTAGTCACTTATGAATGGCATTTGTTAATGTACAACACTCATACTTGTGAAAGGGAGTATGATAGTTGTAATGAACATGGTGATGTGTTCATGAACGAATTATGAAGGCTGTGTAATGAATGTTGTGGTATTCCTACAGTCGACACTAATTAACTTGCAAGCGAATACATTAGCAGCTTACAGGCAATGTTAACTAACAACAAGCAAACACACTAAGCCTTTGCAAGCCATGACGATCAGCATACAATAAATGTGGTGAGTCCCTTGCAGATACTGATGAGGGGTTGTGACAAAGGAGATACCCTACTTGCAATCAATATGCAATAAATGTGATGAATTCCCTATAGGCACCGATAGAAGAATTGTGATACATACAACATATCTCCTATAAACAATATGATTCCTTTCAAGCAGATTCATCATCGCGGCATACGATGAATACAAACGTCCACTGATGGTTCACTCACAGAAGAGAATCAAAAACTGTCATGCGCACAATAAATCACGTAAAGGCGTTAACGGGCAATAGGCAATGAATGTAGAAATGTCTTGCAATCGACATCAAAAGTACAAGTGAATATCCTTAGCCTTGCAAACATATATACCAAGTCCCTAAGTAATATTGCAAGCTGCATATGAATGATGGCAATTGATATTAATGTTTGCTTAAGTCATGTAAGAAAATACAATAATCATTACAAGCAGCAACAATTGATATATTACAAGGATTCCCCCACACGCAACTTCAATCAAACAACATATCCTCTTGCAAATGTGCCCAATGGAGGGCATAATGAATGCAAATGCTCGCTAGTGATTACAAGAGATTCTCCATATTCACAATAATATACTTACAGGTGGTGATTAGTAGGAGGCAATGAATGTTGCAATACTCCTACAGTCAACAAACATCAAATAGAAAATAAATATATTGATCCCTTTCAAGCAAAATGTGATCGATTGGCGACAAATGCACATGCTTACGGGCCATTGTAGGAGACTCTTCATACACTCTAGATGTCATATACGAGCAAAATGCCAAATTGCTACAGAAAATGCAAGCTCTTACGAGTCGCTATAGGAAACTCGTCGTACATACAACACACTATCTAGAAGGTGATATGAAAGAATTGTAGTGAATGCAAGCGTCCATGAATCATCGCAGGAGACTTGTTGGTGCACGACAATAAATCAGCAAATGGTCTGTAGCGCAGCAGCGCCACACCACCAATTCCGCAACATCCATACAAGTGGATAGAAGGTATCTATAGGCTTCCAAATGAAACCCAATGCATCTTTCAATAACAGTCATTTGTGCAAGTCGAATGTTGCAAAAACACCCTTATGTATTGAAATGCGCACTGACGCATTCATGTCATGTGCATACATATTGCAACTAAATGCTTGCATGGGCCCCGACGAGCATGCCATGGTACGCATGTGACGTCTGAGGATGCTGCACGGGTCAAGAAATGAATCTAAGTTCGAGCTCTATCATTCTATGTGAATAGATAGTAGTCGACACGTCTCATACTATCAAATAAATATACGGTCACACTATTGACCAAGATATTTATTTTATATATTCATATTAGGTCTTCAAGATCTATAATAAAGAAAAGTCACTCATAAACACATAAATCTTACAACGAATCTGATCCTCTGTTGGCAAGATGACATAGTCGACAAGGTTCAATCAATAAAATGAAATGACCGATGAAAATCCCGATGATGGTTGTATTGATAGAAAATCTCAATCGGACGAGACCCCAAGTATTTAAAGATGCCTCTCAAATGCCCATAAAAATACAAAAAAAAAAAAAACATCAAAAGCTTGCAATATTAAAAATTGAAATTAACCATGAATTGCTTAAAGTAAAATCCATCAACTCTCCGCAACTATTTGTTGAGTTGGACAAATTTGAAAATTATTCCACCTCATAAAGAGCCAATGTATTGTCGAGAATATCATCGGGATTCATTCTCCAACAGTCTCTTGCTAGTAAGAACGTGGCACGTGTTCTTTAGCCGTTGATTTTGCCATCAAATGACACCATAAGTAAATGGTTATGACTGGGTCAATCCAATAATTTGGTGGGTTGGGTTCATGTCTAAATTTTTGACCCATTTACAAAATCGGGTCTAGTTCGGGTCAGCTGAATTGGACTCTGGTCAATTCTGAGTTCGACCCAAACCTGACTCGAATACCCATTTTGACAACCTTACCATCAGATATCACATTTCCTGAAATTAATTTGAGCAAAGGTTATCATTTCGGATGAATTAGAGTTGTTCCAAAATAATATAATGATTTTGTACCAAATAGAAAAATCATTTTTTCATTATTCTTCATTCTTATGGTTAATCTAGTTATACACTTAGAAGAAGTCAAATTAGATTGTCCTGTTCAATATAGATGAATGTACCTATTTGAAAGGTAACTTGTAATTTTATGTCACTTGTTAGTTAAATCTCACAAAAAAACTAATGAAGAGTTTTCATTAATTACAAATTCTTCTTAGGCTTAAAGAACTAAGTCAGCTACAAAGCACAACCAGAGGGGTCAATAGCAGAGGGTTTTATTGTTAACGAAGGCATTTCTTTTTGTTCTAAATATTTGGAGGGGTAAAGTCAAAGTATGAGCTCAATTTCAGAATTAATAGAGAATAATGTTGTATTTAAGTTTTCTAGTGGTGGAATTCCTCTTGGAAAGGTTATGTCATTTGTGCTTGATGATAAATCGCTAGTCCAATCTCACAGATATGCCCTCCGTCATTATAATAATTTGACATCTTATATGAATTGTTTCAAACTTAAAATCATGTTGTTAATAGTATAGAGATCGAATATTTCAATTTCTATGGTAAATTCAATGATATCATTGAGATCAACTATTCTAACATATTTAGAGTGGTCTTATTCAAGTGTGATTGACTAACATTAACACAATTGGTATTAAGGAAGATCAATTTGGTTACCCTTTGGTGAACTTCTCACGTCTTCTTCATACCAGAGATAAATTGGAACATGATCCATTTGTCATCTCTTCGCAAGTAGAGTCTGTCTTCTATGTTCAAGATCCCAAACTTACAAATTAGAATTTTATTATTAGCCTAAAATCTAGTATTGCTAATAGCAATCAAATGTAAGTTTGCACTCATTTACTGTATTCTTTTTACTCTTTTTTTTTATAGAATTCATTGTTTGTACTCTTTTAAGACTTTTAAGTACTGATCCAGCCATACAAAAACTTTAAATTTTAATGTTTTTAATCTATTTTTTTCACTCTTTTTATATTTTTTACTCTTTCATTATTTGTATTACTAAGCTTTACATTTGCAGGACATGACAGGAGGGAGTATATTCAAACGGGCCAAGATCATATGCAGAGGCGAATCTAGTAAGGGGGAAAGTAGTAGGGCATCTGAAACACCCCCTACTCCAGTCCACTTGAATACACAGGAGGAAAATAAGTGTGGTGGCTCACAGCAACCCCCAGGTCACTCATATCATTGGCAAGCTCGTAATTCAGATGACGGAATATGGCTTATAGGTATGACATTCTTATTTATTTTAAGAAGTTTAACTTGCACTATAAAATACAAATAATTATGTTGATTGTGTATATTTTATATAGATGAAGAAGGTGCCCCTATACGACGAAGGGGGAGGACCACATGCGTTGATATACATAATATGCCTCCAGGAACACGTGTTTATATTGAGGTAAACGGGAATAATATCCCATGCAATAAACCAGAGTCCATCCTCTTGGGATCATATTTGAGTTTTATTGCTAGAGATCCTATATTTGCACCAATATCATTTCTAGATTGGAGTGATAAAGGTATGAAGCTCTTCAAGAAGAGAATGTTGGCTAAAGTGCTGGTAAGTAAAATCTTATTTAAAATGACTACTAATTGTTTATGTTGCTAATAATAATATACTTTTTTACATTGTAGTCCAAATTCGAGTTTCCTGTGCATATGCGTCATTGGATTCTTCAATCCCTTGATCTAAAGTGGAGTAATCATAAGATGACTTTGAAGTCCAAGTATTGGGATAACAGGCCCATCGAGAAGATTATGGAATCTGTCCCAGACGGTGTAGATGCAGCACAATGGTGTCAACTTGTTGTTCAATGGTCAGAACTAGAAGAACAGGTCAGTATTATGACTAAGTTTAGTTGTTGGTATTTTAAGATCAAGTATTTTGAAGTTAACTTCATCAGTTGTCACAGGAGAGGGCTATAAAAAATGCTGCTAATGAAAAAAAAATCAAGCTTGTTGTCACATAATAGAGTATGTGAGTTCGGTTTGCAAGCAATATGAATTTAAATTTGTATGATGTTTTTATTCATACTTTATAAGTAATTGTTGTAACATAAAATTTGTTATTGTAGTCTATCAATGATATATTGCAATTATAGAGGATTAACATAATACATAAAGATGAAACCCGGTCATTTGAAGATGTTAAGTAGAGATGAATAATTTAACTTTAATTGTTTGTATTTTTTATAATCATAGTTCATTCCTTTATCTCTATGCATGACAAAATGTACTAAAATATAGATACAACCTTGCGAGCTCTGTGCTGAGGAAGGGTTTACACCCGAGGATAATGTAGAGGCAAATGAGACGGTATTCAATATGGTTAGGGGATCTGAACACCATGGAAGAGTTCGACCGCAAGGGGTTGAATCGGTTGATGTCATTCAAACCCGATATTTTCCTCAAAGCACCACCGAGGGAGGTAGTGGTAGTGGAAGCCTAAGTAATTTAGATCAAATAGAAAATCTCAGAGAGGAGGTCCTCTTACTACGGGCTGAGACGAGAGACTTTATTCGTCAATTTCAAATGCAACGCACACTGCCAGGAAGCTTGCAAATGGTATGTAATTCACATTTTAATGTTAGTTATTCAAATATTAGCTATTCATAGTTTTTTTTAATTATTGACAGGGAGACAATGAAAATCCATCTGATGACTGACGTTATAGAAGTAATATTCATATTATTGTAGCTTTGAATATCAACTGTAATATTTTTACAGTCTTCAAGTACCTGACATCTATGCTGTTTCAAACTATCTGGAAGTTCTAAGTTTTATAGTTATTGCATTCATGTCTCTCTTCCTTTTATTAAATTGAAATAATGAAGGACTCTATCCAAGGTAGAAATGAATCCTTCAAATCACTATGAGCTCAATCTTTGATGTAGAAGAAGGAATCATATGCTATGAATGATGGGCTTCATAAACAATATGAGATCATTGTATTGAGTTTTGCATGTCTAAATTGGCAGTTCATTGTATGAGTTTTAAGGGGTTGGAGAAGTTTATACCCATCAAAATGAATTGTATTAAAATGCTCATGCTAAATTGATTTATGCCAAATAAATATTTGTTGATATAATCATACTCAATAAGTGAAAATGTCATTGTAAAATGGTAATAGATAAGAGAAATTTTTTTTAAAAAATTATCTATAACATTTGCGGAGGTTAAAACTATCATGATTTTGAGGCTTTAGCGGCGGTTTAACTGTTACTATTCTTATAGATTAGCGGTGGTTAAAACCACCATTAAATGTACAATATAGTAGCGGTTAAAACCAACACTAAAGTCTTAGAATTGTGACGGTTCTAACGGTCTTGAAAAATAAAGCAGTCTAATTCTTCCTAATCGGTTGTAAAACCATTGTGAAATGTGTTTGTAGTGTATATCAATCACAATAGACATGCAGCGGTTTTGAAACCATGGTAAACTATTTTTGCGACGGTTAAAATTGCCACTAAAGTCAAATTTAAGCGTTACGAAACGTGTCTTTTTTTAGTAGTGCCAACAGCCCCTTAGGCTAATTTAGATCAACTATCATTAGTACCATTGGAAATAAGTGTATGTTGTTCTAAGGAAGTTTAGTTTGTTTAGATCCTCCCTTTAATTTTTTTTTTAACCAGACGAAAGAGCTAGTGTTTTGGTCAAAACATTCTCCACTAAGATTTCGTGCGAGATAATTTTTTTACTTCTTCTTAAAGTAAATGTTTAGTACAAAGCTGTTTTAAGAAGCACTAAGAAAGCTGTTCCAAGCGAAGCCCAAGTCAACTCTTAGTGGGCGGCACGGCCGAGTAACGTCTAACTTGATTCATATTTTACTTATTAGAACTCATTGTACCGACATTAATTATCAGTTTTTTTTTCTGAAAAAACTAAGCAAAATAGTGACTGCTTTTATAGCTCAGCTGGTTATTAAACTGCAAGTTGGTTCCCTTAAAAGTTTTTAATATAGCTGTTTCAATTGAATTCAAAGACATGAATCTATCATAAGATAATTTTTATAATGAAGTTGATTTCTTGACTCCAAACAGCTTTAAAGTTCCATTCCATGATAATTCTGCTTACTATATATCATGCCAAAATAGGCAAATATCACCATTCCATGGAAATTTTGCTCTTTCCAAAGTTCCTCTTCCAATATGTGTACAGGAACAAGTGGTTGGCCTGAATCCCCAATACTGATATGGTGGCAAAGAAATTAGAATAATATTTACACTGCTTCTAGGAAGCTTCGTTTGTTTATATTAAAGCAAGTTGGTAGCAGAATTGAAAAACATCCAATTGATCCATAGTTGTTGTACTGTTTTGGTAACTCAGCTGCTTATTAAACTGCAAGTTTGTTTCAATTTCTTCGAGCCTAATAAAATCTTAGGCTTCGTTTGGGGAAGCTTTCTTGCTGCTTCTTAAAATCATTTTTTTAGTACAAAAATTTATTTTTTATACTAAAAAAATCGTTTTTAAGAAGCAGTAAGAATGTCATCTCAAACAAGGCCTTAATCTTTGCTTCTTCCTTTGATTGTTCAATCAAAAAAAGTTTTGAACTTTGAAAAATTTGTAGCATCGATAGTAAAAAAAAAAAAAAAATCTAATCTCTCAGTTAACTTATCAAAATCAAACTAAAAAAATTAATTTTTATACTAAAAAATCGTTTTAAGAAACCGTCCTAAATGAGGCCTTAATCTTTGTTTCTTCTTTTGATTGTTCGATCGAAAAAGTTTTGAACTTCCAAAACTTTGTATTATCAATAGTAATAAAAAAAAAATCCAAGCAATGATTATAAAAAAAAATCTCTCAGTTAACTTATCAAAACCAAACCAAAATCCATATCAGCATTCAAAATGGATAAGGTATAACAAAGGGAAAGGTGAGAAACATTTCTGAGTTTTTTGCTGATATAATGTAAACTTCTTTGACAAATTTAATAATATTAGTAAGACTATTTCATTTTAAATTAAACTCTTTGAAATTACTGAAATAGATAGAAAGAACTGTAAAAAGAATATTTCTGGGTACGTCGAAAAGGCCATAACCTGGCTTTTATGTTATTACAAAGTCCAAATTTGTTACATAGTAAAAAATATTTACACGATTTTTGTTTGTTCCTTCCAGGAAACAACAAATTTTATTTTTACAGAAAACAAACAAATTTCTTACGTAGCATTTGAGAATATGAAGATTTCCATTTGTTTTAATATCTGTGCAAAAGAGTTTAATATAATAATATTTGTTTAAATATTTGATTATTTATTGTTATATACTGCAACTTGATGCAGGATGTCATAATCATTTGTTTTAGTTGGTACGTAATGGTTTTAGAAACTATATGATGGGTATAGTAACATTAGGAAATATTAAAAAGCTTTCAATTTGATAAATCAAAAGCTTAAGATTTCATTTGGAACGACTTTCTTATTGCTTCTTAAAATAGTTTTTTTAGTACAATTTTTTTTTTAAAAAATTATATTAAAAAGTTGTTTTAGAAAGCAGAAACAAAAGCCATCCCAAACAAAGCCTAAAACTATATATGAATAGATGTCCGTAACTCCTCTTTCCTTGAAGCTTCTTTATTAGTTTGCTTCTCGATCGAAAAGATAACAGCATTGCATAATATGATAGTTTGAAGCGTAATATTTTTCTATCTTTAGACATCTTTGTCACATAATTGTGGCATGATGTAATTTTAATGTTGAAGAAATTGTTCAGAGGGAAACTCAAATTCTATTGTTTTATGGAATCATTACGTGTGCAAGTGTGTGTATATATATATACACACACACATACATTTTTAGGAGAATAAATAAAAAAAGCACTCTTGTCTATTCGTTTTGCGATTGGATGTCGTTTGGGCAATATCGCGCGTCAATTTCAAATGTCGGAAGTCCCTTTTGACTGATCTTGTCTGATTTGACTGCAAGGGATTCCTCCATAGGCGAATTCAACGCTCCGATTGCAATGGCACAGTCCGTTTGACGATCGGATGTCATTTTATTCTTCAATTGACATGCCGCGCCAACATGCGCATCACTTAATTTTACGGTTTCGCCTTGTTTCGTGTGTTTTGATGTGCATAGAGGTCCACACTAACATAAAAAAATAACCAAATATCTCCTTTCCTTTGCTCCTTCACTCTTTAATTTCAACCATGATAATTCTGAACGAGTGGTCATCTTGAATCCCAAATACTAACATGGGGGCAAAGAAAAACTAACCAAAGCTACTGTGGACAGTCAAAACAGTTGCAGAATAAAGATTGTGAAAAGAGTGGCTAAGCTCTGAACTAGTTTGATGAACATGATAATACATTAATACTGAATATTGAACCTCCAGCTCTTACTCAGATTTGAAAACAAAAAAATTAAACCTTTTTTTATCTCTATACTGAATAATGCATAATCACCTCCTCTAACTTTCAGCTTAGATAATTGACATAATTTTCATTAAGTAATCGCCTATGATTATTTAAAATTTATGAGGTGAAAGCATTAACATTAGTTGATTAAGGTGATAATCATTGAGTTTAGCAATACAAATTCTTTATAAAAAAAGAAAGTTAAACTAATTTCTAATTAGTTTAAAAAAGAGCAGAACAAAATAATATTTAGATTGCTTCTTGGAAGCTTCGTTTGTTTTAAAAAAAAAAATTCCTATTATTAAACCAACTCCAAGGTGGTGACACAATTGAATAACATCCAGTTGATCCATATTCTAATCATAATTACAGTCACTGTACTAACATTAATTATCTTTTATTTTGGAAACTAGATAAAATAGTTACTGTTTCGGTGGTTCAGCTGCTTATTATTTAAACTGCAGGTTTGTTCATATAAATTTATTGATACGGTATCATTTGAAATGCCTGACATGATAGTACTGTAATAATAAGATAATAAACGTTTGATTGCTGCTTCCCTTACTGTGGGCTGAACTTTAACTGCCAGAATTCCAGAAATCAATTAGTAGTAGTAGAACAGCTAGCTTGTTTGGTTTTATCTTCCCTACAAATGAACGAAAATAATCAGGCTAAATAAGGATGTTTATCCTGTTGTTTCTTGTTAGAAAACAAATTAAGATTTTCACTGTGACTAAGAAAATTTTTTTCTGCTCAGAGATTTAATCATAATCTTTCTTTCTTTGATCTTTCAGATCAGGGGTGTCAATTTTCGATTACGGGTTGGCTTCGAGTCGAATCCGAAACTGATCTGGCACTATTGGGGTCAACCTGAACCTAACTCGTTTTTAAAAACGGGTTAGTTTTTGGGTGATTGTACTATATGTGAATTATAGTATCCGCTGTTGTTTCTTTTCTGTAATGTAATTATCTCTGGCTCTGGATATATGTATGGATGGATAGATGGGAAACCGATAGAAAGAAGAAGAAGAAAAAAAAAAGAGGCAATAGAACGATCAGATGAATCCTTTCGCTACACGGATCTTGGGTCGTTTTAAACCTGAACCTAACTCGTTTTTAAAAACGGGTTAGTTTTTGGGACCCAACCCACTTCGGGCTCGTGTTGAACTGGCCCTCCAAGAACCAACCTTTTGCGTGCGTTCGCGGTTCGTCATCAAAGACTCGAAGGAGGCGTTGTAGCCGACATCCGTTGCTACCGCCGACCAGACCGGAAGGAGTGTCGTCGAAGGAGGCGTTAGCTAGTTCCTCAACTGGCAGCGGGGAGCATCTTCAGGCGGCGGCGAGCTGCCAAATGACAGCGACCAAGCGATCGCAAACGGAGCGGAGGCCGGACCGGTGGGTAGGAAGAATGACGTAGCGGAGGTCATCCGGTTTGAGCTGCCAA